AAGTGCCATGCTATTGACAGGAAGACAAAATAAGTTAGAATGGCCATGTTTCAAAAATTCTGTATGTACACTCAATCACTGGAACAGAAATTGCAGTCGGGTATATAATAACACAGCCGTGTTCTCTATTTCCCCTGTAGATCAATGCTAATATGAGGAAGGCCACAGAAGATGGATGTTGCCGACAGAAAACCTTGAAATTCCACGTTAGGACTTGGGTGGTTTCATGGATAAAAGTGTGTGTGTGTGCAATGTCTGTGTAATTTAAATACAAAAGACCAAACTCCTTCCTTAATACCTGAGAATGCTCTACTTCAAAGTAGTAACTTCTACATTTAAATTCAAGTTATGGAAAACAAAACCTGACCCAACATCCTGCCTTACATAAGTATCCAGGCTTTAGCTCACACACCTAAGGGACCCCAGATGGATTACTCAGTGGGCTTAGACAACCACAGGACAATATACCTTCACATACTCACAGATACACAAAAGAAATACATACAGGCTTTCCATACATTACTGAACAATCACTCTGCCAGAAGGTAATTTTTTCAGAAGGAAGATGGTGTCAGGAAAGACAGAATGTTTTCTTTCTGACATGTTTTACTAGAAACTGGCTACTCAAGCACCACTAGATTTTGAGGGCATGTTGACTGTTTCACTGGTAGGGTTTATGATCCCAATGAAACAGATGTTTAAACTGGACAAAAAGAAGCAAATACAGGAACTCCAGCACCAAAAATAGAACGCTCTACCATTTGAGCTAACTTAAACAGATATTTACTGTAACAGGTATCTATCTATTAGATAGACCAATGGTACAGAGAATAAACCAGCCAGACAAGGCATTATACTTGCACTTTGCCAAGAGCAGTTATTTTTGAGTACTTAACTCTGTTAAGGTCAAATTCACACACACAAACTTCTACCCCAACAGGTTTGGATCTAATCACAGTTCACATGGGAGAGTTGCACAGGACTATAGGCCACCAAAGCAATGCTAGTTTCCCCAGGAATTTGGCACTCAAAAAAACTCAGCTGTGAGACATGTACCTCCACCATTTCCACCTAAAAATCTCCTGTAGCTAATAGCAGTGAAAATCTTATTTTCTCTGTAAGCCTGCTATTTGAGACCAACATAACTCACTTAGCAATGCATTGCACACTATTCCTGATTATGTGGAATACCAAGTAATTGAAGAGAAATAATACGCATCAGTGACTAGGATTTTTACCAGGATTCATCCCTTCCTGTTTCCTACAGATTGACATGTATTCATCTTCAAGGCTGAGGACTACAAGCCATACAGTTAACTCAAAAGTATGCTGTTGCATTGGTAAATCCTTCCATACAAAAGGAAATATATATACATATATATATATATATATAGCATATATATATGCTTTCACTACCCCTTCAGTACTTCACAGCTTCTTCAGTAATTTGAAGCAATGTGTTTGTGTTGCTAATGGTACATTGCATGAACTGGGAGTATTTTTTAGAAGATGTATAGCATGGGTCATTCACAGAAAGTGTTCACTTTCAAATTGTTCAGTAAAGCAAACTCACTTCCCAGAAAAGATGCTGCCCCATCAAAACTTCGTTCCACATTTCAGCCTTGATCTGAATCCAAACTGTACAACTAGCCTTTATCTTGACAACAAGCCAAACCTTTCTTGAGATACTACTGCACAAACCCACACTGAGGTTTGTGACTCATGCCCATTATTAGTTTAGTCAGATTATAGACAGTTTTGATGCCTGGTTCTCAGCCAAATGCTGCAATATTTAGGACATGTATGGGGATGATGAAGGAGGGGGTTGTTAACTGTATTTCTATCGATGACAGACCTTTACAGACGTACCTGCAGAGCGACCATACCAGCAGAAATACTGTAAGAACCACGGGTCTTCAGATCATGATTAAACTCTCATGAAATCCCATCCAGTGAGCTACAACTGCCCTTTCACCTTGCTCTTCCTCCTTCCTTCTGAGCCCATCTGGCTAATAGGTCAGAAGTGGGGACACCTGTGCACAAAGCCGTTGAAGCCGGGAGATTATTTGCTAACTCTGGAGGTTCAGTTCCCATCCGAAGCACCTGCTGTTGGCCCTGACTCACGTGGGGCCTGAATGCACTACCGGTGGCCCCTGATTCACCTTTTCGCTGTTTGTTCTCCCAGCGTCATCGGAGGGGTATGCAAGGAGCTCGTCTTGTCTGCCTCCCACCCGGGGCTTTCCGGGAGCTGTCGCTCCAAGCCTTCTCCGCTTGGATGCTGCAGAGAGCAAAGCTCCTACTGCGGCCTCAGAGTGGCATCTAGTGCTCGGCTGCCGCACTGCCCCTCGCCAGCACCGCGCCGCCGTTCTCGCGGGGCACTTCACCTACTTTCCAAACACCGGGGTCAAGGACTTGGGCAACACGCACAGGAATTGAGCTACCTCAAGGAAATGAGTGCGCTCCTCTCATAAACGGCAGGTCTAATTGATTCCACGGGAAGCAATCGGTAGCACAGTAAAATGAAAAAGGAATTAAACGTATCCCTTTGCTTACCCAGATTGTGCTGTATGAAGAGGATAATTTATACACAGCCCAAACTAGAGTATGGCAAGTTCTATTTACCTACATTCCCCCTCTACTGCACACTTGTTACAGCGGTTTTACTAATATGCAGCTGTGGAAATCTACCTGAAATTACTAAACCTTCCTTCAGAGGCCGTGCCTGTTCTCGGGTACTGTAATGTTTGTTCACTGCTGCTCACAACAAATTTGTCTCCTAACCCTAATTCTTCAAACTCATTTTTCCTCTTGCTGTGTGTGCCAGTCAAATCTAAAATGCAGAACTCTCCAACAGCAGGACAGCAAAAGAAGACAAGGAACCGAATGTACTTCCAGGGACTATTTTCCATATATCAGAAATAACAGCCATTAGAATCAAAAAAACCCACAAATTACCTGTAGTTCTTGAGGGAACTCCTGAAGACAGCATCCTTTTTTCTTTTTATCATTATTATTATTGTTTTTACTACATGACCAACTCAAGTATAATTTTATGGTGTATAATTTAATCAGAATGCTCTGCAGGCAGGTACATTATCCCAGCTATGTTTCCTTTTTTCAGTCTGCCTGAGATAAAGTAGTTGGATATGTTAAAGAAAAGCTACATAACTGTATAAGAAGTGTGTAGCTTTTTCATATGCTTTTCACTAGCAAATCTCCAAGTGTTTTAATAAAAAAGGTCACATGTTGCTTTCCTCACTTTGTCCATCTGTGAAATGAGGATAATACCTAAAGACAGAGGGAGGTGAGGATCAGAACCCATGTCTTGAGCTCTTTCCAGTACTGAAATAGTCAGATTTTTTTTCCCATTACATCTGAACAAAAGAAACATATCTGAACAAAAGAAATGAGAGAGAGCAGTAAGACAGAGTGTTTAAATTGTGTTCTGATCCTCTCCATATTTTAGTTCTGCTAACTGCAAAAGTCAGGCATTTATTATGTAAATTCAGAGACGTGTTCAAATATAGCTAGTTATGTAGCATAATTTTCCAGTTCTTAAAATTCCTCTAAATTAGGAAAAGCCTTCACACTTGAATTCTGGCTGAATTAGCTGCTACAAAAAATAGAAGACAAAAATTACTTTCACATATGAATGCAACAGAAGAACAGACCCTGTCAATACTTTTTTGATAATACGCATGACAAATTAACAAGCTTCCAATAAATTAAATTTCAAACAGTTTGGCCTTGGCTTGGCAAACTGTCCAATATCTACACTGGCACACAGCTGAAAAGTATTCTAGGGTCAGAAAGTTCTTGGCAGCAAGGCCTGCATTCACAGGCAAAATGCAAGAAATCACAACAGTATTAATGCCACAAATGTCAGGTTCTTCAGAACAATACCACATCCATTGGTAGCAGAGTGTTGCTCAAGGCTAGAAATAAGTATTGAGAAAGCCCTTTATCACACTTGCAAAAAAAAAATAAAAAGTGTGAATTGTGAGAGCCATACACAATGACTAAGATCCAGCCTAAAAAACTCTAACCACGCCTATACAAGGTTCAGAAGAGCTACTAGATCTGCACCCAGGACAGCATGTCCAAATATTTTGTAGTCTGAAAGCTCCTCCTAGCTGTGAGACCATCTGACATTGTCAGCTGGGAAGTTATTTGTTACAGTACTACCAACTTTAGAGTTACTTTTTCCACTGGCTTAAGTACATCACCATCCTATATAAGAGCATCAAGGCCTTTTGCAGAACAAAAGCCTCCTCAGGGCTCCTCAGGATCATATTCTTACTGCTCCTTTAGAGCTGGCCAAATCAAAGGAGCAGCTCCAGACATTCCATCCTGTTACAGACTAGCTTTGCTCAATGTGTTGTAACCAGAAACAGAAAAAAACCTTTGTTCACCGATTATTTTGTTTTTTCACATCCTCAAAAATTCCTGTAAGTAGCACATTTATACCTTTGGGATGAGTCAGTGAACACAAATTCCTGATTCCTTTTTCAGGCTCTGCCACAGACTCATACTGACACTTTTGGAAATACATGTCATGTGCTTCAGCCTACTGTATATAAAATTATAAGACACAAATGCAAAGCACAATGAGCTCCCTGACAGAAGGATGACAGACAAATTATTCATTTACTTATTCTTCACGTACTTCGCTGTTTATTTTTAGATAAATTGCTCATTTCACTGTCACACACACAAAAAAGTCTTCATACCTCTGAACATTAGAAAGCTAAATAAGTCACAATACAGGAATGAAACAGGTTCATTTGTTACACACAACCACAGAATTGTGTCTTATTTGACTACAAGACCTTTGTAACCATGATAAGATGTACATGTAACAGTAAATAAGAGGAGCCAAAGAGTGACAAAAATCCCAAGGAAATATTTACTCACGTAGAACTCTCCTGTTACCAAGGAAGAGTAAAGACAAATAGGCTCTAATAAACCTAATTGTAACCTCGAGATGCAGATTAATTTACCTTCAACGCTCTGAAATTGCAACATGAGTTTTCCCAGGAGCAACCGAAAGAAACTTCTTTTGGAATGCCAACCCAAGCACGTTGGTAACCAACCGCGCAGGACATCTTGGAATGCGGCAACGGCGCTTCCAGAGGAACGCCTGACGTTACAAAGCTCTCCCAGCAGAGGGCACGCGGCCCCCATCCCGCTCGCTGCCCTGGGAAGCAGCACCCCTCCGAACCCCTGGGAAATTGGAGTTGGAAAGCTGGACTCTCCTTTGGCTGCAGCAGAAAATCTGGGAGCAGTGGGCGCTTTCAAAGGGCTGTGCATAAGTTGTTTAAATTTCTGTGGAGTTCTGAGCTTGAACACTGATTTCTATTTAAAAAAAAAAAAAAAAGGAAAAAAAAAGGACAGTGCTCAAAATACCCTTTTTCTAAATTGGGGCTCTGTAGAGGACTGAAGATAAATCACAAGTAAAATGCAGACTGATTTAGTAAAAATAAAAGCAGTACGCATAAATTAAAGATATGCACTGATATTCTAGGCTTAGCAACAGGAAAGTGTTTTGAATAGTCTCAAGGACACATATGGACGTGTGATAGGAAAATGGGAAAAAAACAGTGGGAAATAAAGCCAGAATATCAGGAAACACATCCCAGTAATGTGCTCCTCTCTTCAGATTAAGCCCCATCACTATAGCCTTTCAAAGCTAGAGTATAGAGAAATACCTATTGTAGGGAACATACCTGCATTAAGCAGGGGGCAAAACCAGGTGGAAAGGGTACTTTTCCGTTCTCTCATTTCAAGTCAAATGTAAAGAGAAGCACGTGTAACAGTTAAAATTGCTCACAAACAAATATCATCCACCCACAGATTAAAATGTCACAGAACAAACTCATGTTGGGTGGCACCCCTGCCTGTGTGGGGGGGAGGGGGTTGGACCTAGATGATCTTTAAGGTCCCTTTGAACCCAAACCATTCTAGGATTACAAGTACATTATACCACAAGGAGTTAATAATAGGCTGGAGAAGGAACAATTTTCCTCTGGCTTGATTCAACACACTTGCATTATTCATCACATTTGTGAAGGAATATGAATCCCATCAAATAATTAGATGGTGTGTTAACCTTCCTGGTTTGCAGCAGCCTATGACTGACAAGTAGAAGGGTTCTCCAAGAACAATTTCCTGTGCTGTCGCTCCTTTCTGCCTGGACTCTCAATGAAGGGTGCATTTTGTGTGTTTGTATAGGGAATCCCTGTGGAGTTTTTGTTGAGCTTTAGGTCAAAAACCTCTGAATTTGACTTTAAATTGGGGACCTATTAAATGCCATATTTGTTCCGGTATCTATTACCAGTACTACAATACTGGTCCTCTTCCAGTACTGTAATTTTAAAAAAAGCCACCCTCTTACATCAGTTTCAATTAGAGTAAGGTGTGAAGGTGAAATATCAAATTGCAGCAAAGTACACTAAAAGAAGTCACTACTTACCAGTGTACTCAAAGTACACTACTAAGAAGTCTAACTAGTTATAAGAGAATTTCAATGGCATTTTAACTTACTTGGATTTTCTCAGACCTTCTGCATTGAAGCCTAGTGTGGTTTTCTCCTCCCTTAATTCCCCCCAGCACAGACTACCCTGATCATCAGCCAGGCTGATGGTCCAGTTCAAAATATTTGTAGTAGAAAAAAAACCCCAAATCAGAGGTCCTGTCTGTTGTTGTTCAGAAATTTGTGATATAAAAATCATAGGATTTGTAAGAATTTACAAATTGTCTGAACTGACAGCATCTGAGAACTCTCAAAATTTCTTATGGGCTTCAAGGTTTCCAAGCAAGTCAAGGAAACTACAAAGCAGACTGAGGCTAAATGAATCCTTAAATTCTGCTGACAAATAGGATGCAATGAACCACCAGTGGAAAAAGCTGGTAGAACCTCATAACATAAATTAGTTCAGGAAGTCCTGTTCTAATTCAGTCAAGAATTGATGAGGGAATGTAGGTCAAACAAGGCAACTGCAATTGTTTGTCATAGCTTTAAAGATTGTTAAATTCTAGGGGCCTTACATGTGCTACTTCATTTTCTTCAAAACTTCCCCTTCCACTTCACTGTGATGAGCCCATCCCAGAACGCAGCTGCATTTTCAGCACGTTCATTATACAGTGGCTCATACAAGTTGAAACCCGTCCCAGAAACAGCAGGCTTGCTAGGGGATTTTCAAACTGTTTACCAAACTAAGGTAAAAACACTGATCAAAGGATAGATAATGCAGCATAGTTGATTACTTTCAGTTACTGTGTGGATAAGTGCAGCTAACAAGAGTCAAAAGCAGAAGAAATGAAAGGCAGTGAATACTTCTACAATGAAGTATATTCAGTGTCAGCATATATATACAGTGTTAATAGAGGAACGTATGTACATTTAGAGAAATAAACAATGGAAATAAACTCTGTTCTTAATGACACTGGAGTGAGTGTGCAATGATGCTCCCTACCCAACTGGCATGACTCTGGATTTTTTTGCTGCTGCCAAAGGCAGAATCAGGCTCATTTACTTGGTATTTAGCAACACATGACTGAGGAGCGTGAGCCAGAGAAAAACTATGCCTTGCTGCTTTGGGATTTTTCTGAAGCAGCAGCTGGGATAACTGAGTTCCTTCTCCAAAGCTGCCCCGGGAAGCACTAACTGTGTGTCAGAACTAAGTAAACGGGCAATAGCTGCGACCCCGTCCCCCTGCAGCCCCTTCTCCAGATGGTGCTCGGTCACAGGTTGGACTCCGTGATCCCAGAGGTCTTTTCCAACCTAACTGATCCTGGGATTCTTGGGAGAGCCTGAGGCTGCCCTAACACGCAGCAATCCTCCAGATCGCCAGAATGAAGGATCACACAGCAGCTTGTCAAGCCTGGGTGTAGCGGGGCGGCTTTTTAGTGGAAATGGAAACAGCCTGCTCGCAGCTTCCAAGCTCCGCGGGCGGCAGCTCGGGGAGCATCCCTGACAGGGCTTCGGCTTGGGAGAAGCGCCCCGAGAGGCAGTGCAGCTCGGCCAAACATTTCGAAGTGTTCTACTTTCATCAGGGAACGTGTCCCTTGCACTTGGCAGGGAGGCCAGTCCCAGCGAGCCTTTCCCGGGGCGGCTCCGCCAAGGGCCACCCCGGCGCCGGCCCCCTCAAAGGCGCCCCGGTCCCCCCTCCGGCTCCCTGCCCGGCTGCCCGGCCTGCCCGGCTCCTGCCCGGGCTCCTGCCCGGCTCCTGCCCGGCTCCTGCCGCGGCTCCTGCCCGGCTCCTGCCCGGCTCCTGCCCGGCTGCCGCCCGGCTCCTGCCTCGGCTCCTGCCCGGCTCCTGCCCGGCTCCTGCCGCGGCTCGCTGCCCGCAGTCAAGATGGCGGCGCTGGGACCGCGCGTTGGTGCGCCAGCCCGTGGCTGGCGCGGGCGCGGCCACGTGACGCGTTCAAGCGCGCCGCGCGAGTCCCACGCGCAGGGGAGGGCAGGGCGCGCGGGCATCAGGTGACCCCCCGGCGGCGGCGCGGCGCCGTCACCGCCCGGGACACGGGGACCGGGACACGGACACGGGCCGGGAGCCCGGGAGGGAGTGGGGGCTTAACTGCGGGGGCGGCAGCGCGGGGCGGCCCAGGCGGCGGGCAGGGTGACGCGCAGCGTCCGCGGTGCGGGATCACCCGCGGGGCGCGGCGGCGGGGGGGGCTCGTCCGCGCACCGCGAGTATCGGGCACGCCGCGGCCTCGCTGTCCGGCCCTGCCGAGGCAATTCCTCGCCCGGCCCGGGGCTGCTCGGCCGGGGTGGCCCGCTCCAGGGGCAGCAGCCGCTCGTCGCACCCCGCACGGGGCTCTTGGGGCTCTGGCCGTGGGGACCCGCCACAGCACGGACACCCAGCAGCGCTCTCTGGGCTGTCTCCTTAAAGCCTCGAGAAACAGCTCGTGCTTCGTTTGCCACGGTGATGAGGCCACCAGTGCTTTTGGATTATTCGAGTGATATGCAGGGACCGCTGCTGGCCTTGATACAAAAACTGTAGATGTTGAACATCTCGACATGTCAGTGAATTTGAAGGCTGACAAGCACACTAATCTCGCAACCCAGTTAGCCTTCCACAGGGTACATTTTATTTAAAAAAAAATAAAGCTGTACCATATGCATTAGAGGAAACGGTGACAAGTGACATAAAGATACCAGAATACAGAGTGATTCTGTTGTTCTCCCGCTCCAGCTAATTCAGCTTTCCTTTCCCATAAAGGGCTTCTTCATTCATGGCTTGGGCCAGGCACTCATAGGATGGACCATCAACTCTCCTGCAGGCACTGAAGTGACTTCACAAACACTGGCTGTGAGCAAAGGTCCTCGCACAGGTGGCACGTCTTCTCAGGTAAGGGCTCCATGTCAGCAGAGCACCCCAGTGCAGCTGTCCAGTGTAGATCTGGAGGGAGGGGAAGAGTCTGGCCACTGGCATTACCGTTACTGTAATTTACTGGGACTAAGTTCCAACTTAGTCCTTATTTTCATTTCAGAGCATTAAGCAGTTAATTGTGTTAACAAGCTCAGTGACCTCAGCCTGCTTTCCCATAGTAACCACACTGTGAAAGTCCTTTCAGAGACTTCATTAGCAAGACAAACAAAAGATGGAAGCAGTGAAATTATGTCTGTAAGGTGTTACTTAGCCTGGAAAATTTTCTTTTAGGCCAGCAAAGTTTGAGGAGGTAAATAGTTCAGTGGAGTATAGCCATGGCTGGTTCTCTGTCCTGCCAATCTGGCTTTTGAGAAATTTCCTCTGAGGCTGTATGTCACAGGCCTTATATCCCAGAGAAATGCACTTCTCCAAGCACAGACACACTGAGCAGCATAAGACATGCTTTGTGCTTTCTCAGAACCAATTTTCAGAAAGCATAGTGAACCATCTCTGTCCCATTACTTGGGCTACATGAACCTTAGCAAGGTGTTTTAATCAATCCCTCAGTCAGATCAGATTTACCTAAACTTTCTCTAACCTGCTCTGAGAAATATCCAAGGCATATAACACCCATCTCCTTCCACTTGCAGAAACCTCTAGTCACTGGTAGGCAAATTAATGATCTCATAAAAGTTGATATACATCCAAATGGCAGTTCCTCTTAGCTCAGAAACATTTTCCTAAATTGCTCTCCTCAAGTCTGTCTTGTTAATGTAAAGTCTAAGGCACAATCCCATCCCATCACATTGACTATTTAAGAATCATTACTGAAGCTTGACTTGAAAGAGCTGTCCAGAATGATCTACCTGTATGCAAACATTCCAGATTTTCACCCTTTTTGAGGAAAGTAGATTTGTATGAATTATAAGCCAACTTTTCTTGAATATAGCATAAGTAGTTATTTTATACAGCAGAAAGATAATGGTACTTTTAGAGAGATATTATTACTACATCTGTTTTACCAAAAAAAACCCCCTACATTTGACAGTAACATGTTAGGAAGGAGAATGCAAAGGTGATGGGGATTGCTAGGTTCTCGAGATTTGATAGTAGCTTGGGAAACTCTGTTCAGTTGCTGGTCAAAGTATCTAGCACAGAAAATGAATAACTTTCGCATTCACATTTTGAGAACTGATACCACTTTCCTCTGCCTGAGGTGAGGAAATACATATGCCACGCAGTGTTACGTGGATCAAGTAAGCAATCCTGATATTTCAAACCAAGCCTGTCTTAATGAGATGACATACAGTGCTCCACTGCTCATTCTTTAATAGTAAACCCCAGTGTTTAAAGACTGCCAGAAAAATAACAGGGATTTCCAAGACCTGAAGGTCTCCTATTCTGACAGTGCAAAACTGTGAGGCTGTAGCTGTGAACAGAGCAATAGAAGTATCATTTCTTTATTGTACACTTTTAAAAATAGATTCTGTGCAACATGTTACACAGAGCCCACATTATAACAACCAGAATTGCAGAAGGACTTTCATAGATACATTTGAATCAGCTGACAACTACTGTAGTGATCTTAAAATCCACATTGCAATTACATCTGGAAGTTTAAAACTGTGGTAACATCTTTTCAAGAGAACTGAGCTCTCAGGAGACTGATTTCTCCTGCCTTTGGTTTTTAGATCAATTTGTGTATTGTAAATCGCTCCCACACAAACTGGGCACATAGGATAAGCTCTTCTAGTGAATCTCCCCCTTAACTATTGCAGGTCACCACTAGAAAAAGCGTGGCATTTGAAGGTATAATGCATAAAGTGTTTCGGTGGCCCAAATTATGTAATTCTAAACTTGTCTGAGTGCTTGGGGTGGTTTTGTTTATATCCTGCTGGCTCTGAAAGTCTCATCTCAGGAAATGCCAAACCTTTTTTGATTCCCATAGAAATGTGGGAATTGTCTGTCAGCAGCCACATGACTGCTCCATGAGTTCTGTGTCAAACAGACCTGGTCATGTCCTAGTGTGGTTGAAATGAGGGAGCTGCACTGCTGGGAGCATGTTGACCTTTGGAAGCTCTCCGGCCAATGACCACATCAGTTTCTCTGTATGCAGGGCCGGTTCTTCCTCAGAAGAACTCAGTGCTTGTACCAGGAGTTTGTCCACCCAACAGCTTTGTAGACCCCAGTGGGAAGGAATGGTTAAGGAACAGCTTTTCTCCACCCAATTCAGTCCAGGCTCAGTACTGATAGCTGAAGGAGGGCTGTGGGCAGCCCCTTTCTGCCATGGCTTCTGTAGGAGCTCTGTGATTCTTAGAGCTCCCCTGAGTTTTGGGTTATCAAGTGCCCCTTGTTGTAGCTGCATCAACTGTAGAATGGCTCATTTACCAAGCACAACAACAGGCTCCTGTTTGGGCAGGATTCCACTGGCAGTCTGTGCCTGACCTGGAGACCTTTGATATTTTGGCTGGCAGACTAGTCATCTGTGCCCTGCTTGGTATTTCCCTGTAAAATATGCTCTAGGTTGTCCTTTCTTTAGGAGACATTACTCTTCCTCCCACTCGTTCCTGAGTCAAGTCCAAGCATTGCTGCAAATGCTTTTAGCTGGAAGGTCCACCCCTTTCTGTACTGAGAGTGCAAATCCACTACCCATTGCTTCCTCTCCGGACAACACAGTGTTCCAGCTCAGAAGGTGTCCCTGAGCCCCTGCAGCTGGACACATCTGCATTTCCAGCTTTGCTTCCCAGAGGTGACATTTTAAACGTACAGTACAGCTGCATACCTCCAGCATCAACACAATCAGAAGAGGCCCAAGATGTTGGGCTGCTTTGGGCTGGTATTTCCAGTGGATCCTCATACTGCTACTTTTTATGGATGTTTTTGCCTGCTGTTACTCAGAGACGACAAGACATTGGAGGCGTTTGTGAATTGTTCTGATCAGAAGAGCACACTCGCCTATACCTGCATTTTGATCTTGATATTTTGATCTACTTCTTGCCTTTAAAATTACATGGAGTTTTCTTTTTCCTCCTCTTTTTTAGAGAAAAAGGTTTAGAGAGACATGGAGCTTGAAAGAATCATTCGAGACACACTGACACGCTTCATCCAGTCCCACATCCCTGCAGCAGATCTCAGGTATGTTGAGACAGGCAGATCCAATAGCATTGTTCTAGCTTGAACTCTGCATTTAATTGTCCCTCTGCCCATTATATTGAACTCTGTAGCTTTCCCATACTTTTTGTTGCTTTTCTTTAAGCCAGATCCAGGATGGAGGTAATTTGCTTAGGCTCTGAGAGGAATGCTTGAACAGCTATAGTTTAGCATTGCAATCTAGCAGTGTCATTTCTTTGATGACCAAGATGATTAATTTCCTGTCCAGTAATACCCATTAGAATATGGGATTTCCTTCATTCCACAGTGCTCCCAAAGGGCTTTCTGAGCAGGATAATGCTATGTCAGGGCTCTCCTATTTTGAACAGATACAGCTGCCTTGAGGCTGGAACACAGCAGCTGGTTTTGCAGCTGGTGCCAGTAGTGACACAAGTGTGGAGAGCAGCAAGCAGAGAACACTGCATCCCACAGAGGGTGTAGCTTGACAGCATATGATGACCTCACCTGAAACGCCAGTCAGCATAGTCTGTCAGTCAGGGGTTTGAGCACTTGGAATATTTTGGTTAGCTCAGCTGAAGCACCTACAGGAGCCTCTGGGCACACTGGGTCTTTCATTCAGTGCTGCCCAGGAGGCAGAACTGCATGCAGTATTTTATCTGTTAATGCTTCCCACTCAATGACTGGCCACCTGCTACCTGGCTTTACTAGTGGTATATGCCCATAGGATACACTCCACATAGGTCCTTCTGCTGCCATATTAAACAGACAGGAGGTTAGAGGGAATGGGGATGTTGAGAGAAGAAAAACTGGGCCTGTTGACACTGCTGCCACGTCTTGTCTTCTCTTTGTCTCCAGTGGGATGGATGATGTTTTCTTCTCTTATATCACGGGTGTCCTGGAGGAGCTGGGCTCACCAGAGTCCTCTGAGGAGAATTTTGACATGGACACCTTTGTGGAAATGATGGAGGCATATATACCTGGATTTGCAGAAATCCACAGGTATGTAACTGTTGCTGCTTTTTATGTGCATGTCACGCACTGAGGGCCTGGACCCAGGCCCCTCAGTACCATAAATTCTTTTGTTATACCCAGTCGAAGATGTATTAGTACCAAACCTGTGCAATTAAGTCAGTCTTTGCCTGAATACACAGATGCTAACCCCAGTATAGTTTGCAAGTAGGTCCTTGGCCATCTGAAATACCAGTTGATTTTATTAGGCTTCCCATCAAGCCTTGTCTTTCTATAAAAAGGTCGCCAAGGAGGATTGGCTAGTGCTTTTGTTTCTCACACTAATAATACAGCTTCTGTCTCTTGCAGTGGGGATGTTTGTGAAATGATGTTCTCCCTCTCAGAAAGGCTTGGTGAAGCTCGCAACAAAGGTGAGTTACACAAACTATTTCAGCACAAGAAGGTATATTCTGTACATGTTTTCAGTCTTCATATTTGGAGTTGAGCAATGTCACAGGATAAAATACAATCTTGTTTGCCACAGTTAAGATCTCATAAGGTAGCCTGAATTGATTGACGGGGTTTTTTTTCAATGTTCAGTGAGGTTTTTGATGTCAACACAAGGGAGGTTGGAGTCATACGGAATACTGTCCAAGACATACTGGAGTGAAAAACACATGATCAGTTCTCCAAATACCTCTGTTGAGATCAAATCCAGAGTAACAAGGAAGAAATAGCAGACACAGGGCTGCTTGTTGAAATTATGCTGTAGGTTAACTCTGAAAGTGAGGATTTTTGCCTGCCTCTGATACCCATCTGCCTAAGTGGCACTACCACTGAGCAGCCTTTATCAGGTGCATCATCAGAAAAAGTATCCAGCTGAATACATGTATCACATCTAGACTTAGGATCCTCAAAGCTCACTTCCCATTCATCCATGGACCCTGGCACAGATGCAATATGAATGATGTGCTCTGTTCTGCACAAGACTACACTATGCCAATGACCCTTTCTAACCTCAGCATTCACAGATCAGCTGGACTGCTCTATCAGGTGCTTCCCACTAAAGAACAGACAGGTTGAAGTGCCTGGATATTAAGCCTTCCAGGACATACAAGTCTGGGTTTTGCTTGTCTAGTAACATCTTTGCTGTCTTGCCAGAAGGGTACACAGTGTAGAACAGACAGTCCTGTCTTTTATCTTACTTGCTGCTTTCTTGAACTTGGCAAAATCTGCTGTTCTGCTCTGGTATTCTGCATCCTACCCTTTGAGGATCCTGATGTAGCCAGAGCATGGAAGGAAAGCACCATTCCAGTTTTAGATAGGACAGAGAAAACGTGAAATGATTCTTCTTGCAGTAACAAAAAAACAGCCTGTAAAAAAGAGATGCATCAGAGTAACCTCGTCACAGGATCTGCTGGCTTGCATGCAGTCTGGGGACTACCACAGTGTATTCCCAAATTTAAAATAAAAACCACACCTTATTTCAAAGATAGAGCAAAAAGCAGGGAATTCTTAAAAAATGTAAGAAAAATACCTTAAGTATCCACAACCAAAGCACTAGAGAACCAAGAATGGAAAGGTAGAATTGAATTTGCAAGCAGCCCATGCCCTCTACAGCCTGGAAATGCAGAAGTCGGGCACTCCAGCATGTGCTAGCACTGCCTTCCTGCAGGTCAGTGGGAGCAGAGCTGCAACTGTCCTCGCTGAGGGCAGAAGGAACAGTAGTGCTTCCAAGTCTTGTCATGTAAGAGATTTGCTTTGGCACATGATGCACTAGCAATCTAATGCCAACAGAAAGCACAAAGCTCTAACCTTAGTGGGACTGTTCCTCAGGAGATATCAATGTGTCTTTAAGAAAAACCTGGCCAAAAGGCTGTGGAAAGCAGGAGTGAAGCACCCTCTGAAGACCTCACCAAGGGCCAGGAGCCTGGAGCTGGAGCCTGCAACGGGGAAAGGCTGTGCACTGTAACAGACGGAGCCAGGGCCCAGGTATGAGTACCCTGCAGAGGAGCAGGAACACTGGGGACAGTCACAGAGCACTAGGCTACCAGCACCACCTGAGGGCATTTTCCAGCTCTGCAAGGAACCACAGCATAGGCGGTGACCAGGCATCACCATGTCTGTGATCTCCTGATTGTATGGCCTGAACAAGACTGTGTCAGAAAATTATGTGCTGACAGAAGACTATGAGCCAATGCTCTGGCTCATCCTTTCCAGCAGCTGGAAAGGATGAGCCAGAGCAGTGGCACTGAGAGCCTGTCCCAGTGCCCTCAGAGATCCCACAGCACTACAGCACCTGGCATAATCTCCCACCTTCCTCCCCTATGCTCTGTTTGGTCTTTCTCCAGTACTGATCTATTCCTGCTCTGCAGCATTCTGTATCCACAACTTTCTAGAAAGTGCTGCTATGGCGATTCCTTCTGCTGTAGCCTCAGGTCAGTGTTTAGCAGCTGCTTCCTTTTCTGATCAAAGCACACACAACTTCACAAGGTGTGCACGACTTCAGGCATTTGCACCACAGTGTCCAGAAAGCTCGCTCCTAAGGAGACACATAGCATGGCCACACAGATGAGTCAGTTCACATCAGCCCTACTTGAAAGTAAGTTGAAACAGAGGGAGGAGATTAAGGAAGAGTAATGGTTTGTCTCTCCAAGGATACATTTCCCTGTTAGCTTCAGGAATGGGATTTAGCGACATTTGTAAGGAGAGAGAGCCTTCAGCGAAAGGCAGGCTGAATTTCCTGACAATGAAAAACCAGAGGCCCTAGCCCTCTCCTCCCTGCATCCTCAACTTACCGCTGTCTCTTACTCCAACTAGGAAGACGATGACTTGAAGGATGGGTTGGAGCTGCTACTGGAGATGTTCCCAGCCTGTACCGTGAGCCAGGCAGAGAAGGCTCTTGCCATGGCCTTGGGGAACTTGGAGGAGGCAGTGCAGTTAATTGTGGAGGAGAAGGTGGAAATTGGCCCATCAGGTGTGAGTGTGAAGGTACTGTACTCTGACCTGGGTGGCAGTGGGCCAAGGAGCAGAGCAGAGCTCAGGGACACACAGGCATCCATCATAGCTGTCTCCCACAAGCAGGAGCTTTGACTGCACAATGAGCCAGGAGGATCACCCAGAATAACAGCCCCTCTCCCTCCCTTGGCTCTCTTAGTATTAGGCCGTGCCCACAACCAAGCTAGCAGCCCAGTGGAGGTGTGGCTGGCACTGCTTTCCCACAGAGGCTGGGGTGCTCCACCAGCAGCTGGACTCAGCAAGCTAGCAGGGGGAAACTATATGTTCCGTGTGTTGTGCTGTTCATACACCCACCTTGTCTCCTCCCAGGAACTGGCACGGCCCCGCAGAACACCCAACCACGAGGAACTAAAACAGGTTATCCTACAGAAGTAAGTACCCAACAGCAAAGAACCCCTCATTTTGCTCTCAGTAAAGGAGGAGGTGGCAGTTTGGGGAACAATGTGGTCTATAAAGAACTTAGGCTGCAAGATGCTTAGAAGGAGGCTGTGAAACTGATTTGGGTATAGCTGAACACATCTAAACACAAATACAATCATCATCTGGAGGGGAAAAAAAAAACAACAACCAACAACTACAAAAAAACCAAACCAAACAAACAAACAAAAAACCAAAACAAACAGATTTGGTATTTTTAGAGTTCTAGCACAGAAACAGATTACCTGTACCAGCTGGGTCACAACACTAGCTGTGTGTGAGGTTTCAGCCTCCTGCAGATATAGTGTAAATCACAGTACTGTTGGTTGAGGTCCTGGTTAAAGTTTCAAGGCACAAACATCATGCTGCAGCTCAGGTAACAAACACATGGTGATTTGTAGAACTACAGCGTTTGTAGAACTCATTCATACCTCTATCCTTGGAGATAGTCCAAACAAGGCTAAAGATATCTTTTAAGAGGCTGTCTGTACAACAACACTGAGAAGATTAAATCTCAGTTGCTGAAGGTGAAAATTCAGTGCATTTAAAGAAACCTCTCTGAAGTCCCCCTGTAGGCTTCTTGGGAATGAAAGTATCTATAGATTGGTTTACCTATATTTATTTCTAAAAGCATTTAATTCTCAGTAAGAGAACCCACACTGGTTTCATCGATCTGCTTTAAGATCTCAGCTTTCATGAGCAGGCAGCTTCCACACATCTATCCAGCCACATTTTTTCCACCACTTTACATTCTCCCCAGTGACAGAATAACCAATTGGTGGGCTAGGAAAGATAACACAAGGCAGAACAGCATCCAGGCAAAAGTAGTAATCTCTGTCCTTGCCCACCTCCTGTCCAGGTTCACGTCAGTGACAGGCAAGGGAACAAAAAAGCACCAGCTCCTTGTTATGTTTCTGAGAACTTCAGTTTAATGACATTTTGGCAACATCCTGTACTTTAAACATCACTCAAGCACAGGTACAGAGAGCAGATTGCCGTAGCTGAAGATACACATGAGCAACTATATTAACTACTGAGGGAGCAGTCACGGTCAGCTGTGCTAAACCAGCACCAAAATCTCAGAGTAGCAACTCAGCAGTACAGCAAGCAAATGCTTGGACCCTGATGTTTCAGTCACATAGGAAATGAGGTGATGCTTTTATGAAGTTGCTTCCAGCACAGGCCTGTTTCATAGTCAAGTAGGAGATGGAGTGTGAAAGAAACACCATCGTTCAGAGCAGAAGCAGACAGATTGGTCCTCTAATCTCACCTGTCTCCTTTGGCTGCCATCACTTGGACTGAGAAGGAGCAAAGCTGCCCCAATGGGAGAGCACACCTAACCTCAGCACCTCTCTCAGTTCTGCAGTGGCTATCAGCATTCTCAGCCACCTGAGTTTTGAATACCTTTCACATATAGCCAAGGATGCTACTCCAGGAGAATCCTGCTGGATTCTCACCAGAAGGATGACACTTCTGCCCATTTCATCCACTTGGGAACATCAAGTGCTCTTTGCTGCAATCTAGTCACATAGGACGCATTGCACAGCCACAGACCATCCAGGGGAGAAGGGATATAGGCTGTGAGTAGCCCCAGGCAACATAGCAGTGTTTACTAAATGCTTCTTGTGTTTCAGATACATGATGGTGGATAGTGCAGATGATCAGAAAACACATCGGCCAGCTCCACCCAAAGAGGTAAGCAGAGCAGTCCCAGCTCACCAGCAGTTTGAATGTCCTTTGTTACAAGGTTTAAAAAAATCAGGGTGAAAGTCCAAAAAGCAAGAGGGCAGCCAAAGGCAGGACCATTCACAGAACCCCTTACTCAAAGAGAGAAGATTAGCTTAGCTCAGGTGCTGCAGGGTCTGTCAGTTCCTACCATTCCTGACTCCTGTGGCTCTTGCTCCCCCCCATCAGACAACATCCTTTCCAATTTTGGCCAAGATTCCCAGCACAGATGATGGTAAAGCAGCCCACCCACCTCCCAGAGTGCAGTTCTACTTCTGCTTGCCCCCTGCCTTTCTCAAGCAGTGTGGCTGTCCATCCACTTGGTGTTAATGTCTTTCCTCGCCAGGCTCCCAAGAAGTTGATCCGCTACATCGATAACCAGGTGGTGAGTACAAAAGGAGAGAGGTACAAAGACATCAAGAAGCCTGAGAGTGAAGAGATGAAAAGAACCTATATCAGCCTAAAACCAGCCAGGAAGTACAAGTTCCACTGACAGCCAGGTTCTCCTGCTCTTCAGCCTTCCACCTCACTGGCCAGGCATGGCAGGATGGACTGTGGTGCTAGGAATGAGGGACTCCTCCACCTGCCACTAACTTGAACTAACCTGGGAGCCAGGACACTGTTTTCAGCTTCCTCAACTAACCTAGTTGACAAGGAGGAGACTTCTCTCCTTGGGTAGCTATCCCTCTGCCCCCAGGGGCACACTGCAGTGACTCTCTGGGGCCTGGGCATTCTCTGCTCTATATTGCATGGGACATTTTTAGATCTGAGATGTGGCTTGTGCTTTTGCAGCAACCTTTTTAACAAGTCTCTGTGCACTGTTGCTTTGAGTGCCAGTATTAATAAAGATGATGTGAGTTGGTGTGTAGTTCTGCCAGAGCATGCATATGCTTTACAGACACTATCTCCAATCCCTCCTAGGGCCAAAGATAGAATCAGGGTCATCCTCTCTTCCCCTCATTACTCTCACCACAAGATGTGGCTGCTGTTTGATTAACTGCCTAGCGGATAACAAGGGCTGAGGCTGAACTCCAGAGCTAGACTCTCCCTGCCAACATAACCTGCAGCTCTCCACAAACTTCAGCTTACAGTAGAGCCAGTGCTTCTGCCATTTCTTACCAATATTGAGTGCCAAATTTCCAGCCATGCCACACGGAGCAAGATACAGTAGCAGGCCTGGGCACTACTAAAATGTTAAGTCAGAAGCTGGAAGAAACAAATGACAATGACCAACTGCTTTCAGTGACAGCACAGCTAGGTTTGGTGCTTTTCTGTCAGTGAAACTGTAGTTAGGAGCATCTCCCACCTTGCCCCAGCCTAAACCAGCACCCTAGGCCTGGACAGACACACTGCCTGTGCTGGGGCCATGCCAGTCCTTTGGTGCTAGGCTGGCCAGTGGCCACAGGCTGGAGCTAGGCTTACTGCCCTCCTCCCAGAGCCCAGAGGGGCCTGCCCTCTCCCAAAAGGAAGGCTGGTAGCTGTTCTCTTTCCTGCTCCAGCTGGTCTGGTTTGTTCCACAGCTCTGCTGGCATGCCCTGTACACCCACCCCAGGGGACAGTCCCCATCACACACTCCCCTGCTCTCTGGACAGCTGCCGCTTAGAGATTTAAAATACAACAAATAGTAAATCCTATCTATTAGCTGGCCTGGCCAAGGCCTGTTCAGCACCATGGTGTTCCTGCAAGTCAAGCGCTCTCTCCACGCCACTGTAGAGGGAGTTACTTTCCCCAGAGGCATCAATGAAGCCTATTCATGAACGCTCAGTGGCTGCTAAACAGCCCCAGAGGAAAGAGTGAGCCCCACTCAGGCCAGCCTCACCAATGGGACCGACCTCTCCCTCTGCACGTCTCCACAGCAGCCAGTTCCAGCATCCTTCCAGGTTCCCAGCGTTGCATCAGTCCCCCCCTCCCCGGCAGCAGCAGTTCTAGATCTGAAGGTTGATGAAAGGGGCGAAGCCAACCACGTCCTCCAGGAGAATAAGAGCCCTCCGCAGTGGAGGCTCCACATCCAGCTCCACCCCACGGCTTCGGAGGATGCTCAAGCTGGACTCAGCCACGTTGTGGCAATGCTTGACCTTCAGCGAGCGCAGCTTGGGACAGTACTCAGCCAGGATTCTGCCAAGAAAGAAAGCACATGCAAGTTGCAAGTCAGGATTCCTAAGTGCACCATTCATGCTCTACTCTACTCCCAGCAGCCCAGCGCTCATGACTGTACCATACATGCACCATCCTTTGGGAGCAGCACCCTGGCAGTCTGAGAGAAAGTCAAGGAACATGGTTGGATCCCAGACCTACCCTCCATAATATGCTGGGAAATTTGCTGTAAATAGCACACAGTGTCTCTCCTGAAGGGCCTGCAAGTGACTTCTCTCCCAGACTGAGCTCTCATTGCTTTCAGCATGAAGATATCTGCCTTTCCTCTCTAGTTCTCTTCCTCTCCCTACCCCAGTCACCTGCCATCCCCACATTGCTCAGTACCTGATGGAGTCATTCTTGACTCGCAGACACCCTGTGAGGTCCAAGTGCTCCAGCTCGGGGCAGCACTTGGCAGTCTCCTCGACTGCCACGTCACCCACATTGGCATTGACAGCCAGCGACAGAGACTTGAGCCTGCTGCACTTCTGCACCAGGTAACAGATGGCCTCGTCCTTCAGCTGGCGGCAGGCTGTCAGGTCCACAGCCTCCAGGGCCTTGCAGTGGTCAGCCAGGCTGCGCAGGGCCAGGCTGTCCACCCAGTCGCACTGAGCCAGGGACAGCTGGCGCAGGTTGGGGCAGCTCAGCGAGATGGTCACCAGCGCATGGCGGCTGAGCTGGACGCAGCCCTTCAGCTGGATCTGGTGGAGGTGGTGGTTCTGCTCGATGACTGGGAGCAGCTCACAGTCCGTCAGCCAGGCAGAGCAGTTCTGGAGCGCCAGCTGCTGCAGTACTTTGTTGTCCTTCAACAGGTTAACAAAAGCAGCTCGAGGGATGGCAAATTTGATCTGTGTGGGGAACCCAGGAAGAGTTAGGCACCTCCCCAGCGTTTCACATCAGCCTGATCCTCACCAAATACCCTCTCCCCTCCTTTCTTCCACTGTGACAGTGGTGATCAAAGCCACTCTCTGTCCTCATCCTGGGGCAAACCCTACCATCAGACTCTCCTCACGTCATGCCAAGGCTACTGCCATAAGCTAGGAAGATGCTCTGGCTTCTCCATCCCATATAATCACTCCTGCATTTATATACTTGCAGTGAGCTCCACATGTCTGCTCTCCAAAAATCTCTTTGCTAGACCACTCTGTGTCCTCACAGAACAGCAGCTACTCCTGTCTTTCCCACTCCTAGGCAGTGTCTCCTAGAGCTAGCACAAGCTTTCCCCGATGACCAGGCACAGAGTTACCCCCCATCAGACCCACCCTATTGCACAACCTCTGTGAGGACCAACAGGCTGTGCCACTCTAGAGCTGGCTTGTGTTTCTGCCAGCCAGTGCCCCATAATGGCCTAGGTGGAATTTCCAGGCTTACTCCTCCCAGGGCCTCTTGATAAAGACACTGGCATTGCTGAGCCCTGAATCACTACCTCTCCTCCCTGAGCCCATCTGTCCAGTCTGACACCTGAGCCATTAACCCAAGCTCCTGAGAAGAAACTACCCTCCTTGCCCAGAGGTTCTTCTCCCCACATAGATGCTCCCCTGTTAGTTCCAAAGCAGTAGGACATCTGTGTCCTCCCCCAGTCTCAGAGCCATCCAATACCTGGTTTGAGTCAAAGCAGCGCATGTTGGCCAGGTACAACTGGATGAGAGACTGGAATGACTTGCTGACCCTCTGCAGGCTCAGGAGCTGCTGCAGTGGCAGATGACAGAGAATATGTGGAAGCAAGATGTCTTCCCAGGGCAGGTCCAGGAGGCATCTCCTGGTGGGGGTCAAACTCATCCTCAGACACCAGAAAGCCAGGCCACTGCGGGAGCTGGGCTAGATCACCTCACACCTACTGCCGAGAGCCTCTAGGAGGAACAGCCAGAAAGAAAGACTCAGCGACGTTTCCCACAATCAGCCCACAGGGTAAGTCCCTGTGGCGATCCATCAGCAGGGCATGTGCCTGCCACCTGCGTCACCTCCTCCCCAGCCTGGGACGTTCACTGCTCAGGCATCCGAGTCCACCTGCCCGCACTGCCCTCCAGGAGTCCTCGGGTAGGGCTTTCTACCATCCGCTGATGGAGTCCCTGTCCCTCAGCGAAGCAGCAGGAGGCTGCTGCAGCATCACCGCACTGCTCGCAGGGTAGCTGTGCCCGGCTTTCACATCTGAGCGTCACTCTATTCGGCAGCTAGTCCCCGGCATCCAGTGCCGGGCCACTCGGGCGCCCTGCGAGGGGGAGAGACAAGGTCCCCGCCTCCTTCCCGCGGGGTAGCAACAGCCCCGGGGTCCCCCACGGTGTCCCCCGGAGGAGCGGCGGCACTCGGCACCTCTGCGGGTGATGATGGCCTTCGCAGGCCGCGAGAGGAACCGAAGAGGGGTTCTG